TTGCAGGGGCTGAGAGGGGAGGCCAGGAGCCTTCTTAGGAGATGGTGATGAGAGATAGTGGTGGCCCAGGCCTGGCTGGTGCACTGGGACTTGGGAGGTTTGTAAGGACTGGGCCAAGCAGCAGGAAGTGGAAGTGGGAGGAGACCCCCACCCCTGCCTCTGAACCCTTGAGACTCTCCAGCTTGGTTAACCCCCTACTTCATAAATACCAAATAGATAGTAGGTTCTTGTTCTAACTTTATAGCTCTTTATGGTCTAATCACCAGAATTGAGGGAAATTGATGCTAAACAGATTATTCAAAATACAAATGGCTCCAAAGTCTATGCTGCTTGGCAGGTTTCTGAACAGAGCCTTGAGAGTCATCTCATTGGATTCCATGGTCTAGGCAGGGCAGCCGTGGGTTCAGGTTGCTTTCAAATAGTTGATACCTCCAGAATGATGTTGGTTATCGATAATGGAAGAGTAAACGACATGCTATTTAAGAGCAAGAACTCTAGAACTAGTACATCCTGGGTTCAGATCCTAGTTCTCCCACTAGCCAGCCGTGTGATTGTAGGCATGTTACATAACCTCTCTTTGCCTCAGTTACCTCCTATGTAAAATATGAGTACCTGATGCAGATTAAGTGAGGTAAAGCTCAAGTGCTTGGCTCTCTCTGCCACTCAGAATATTTGCTCAGTAAGTGACAATGATGATATTATCAATATCCTATTTTGGTGAGGTGCTGGGTTGCCAAGTGAAGATCAAGTTAACCTCTCCTGGATGGGAACTGACCTCCCATGTCCCAGCAGGCTCCATATCTGCTCTCCATGGAGATTTGGTACTAAGGATCATGCAGACCCCTGCTTGGCCACTGGAGTCCACTTAGTGTCCCACGAAAGGAGAGTGAAATCAGAGCTGCAAAGCCTGGAGTCCCTGGGGACACTCTGTGGTGGTGTTAGAGGATGGGGTGGTTTCCACATTTCCACTCATTTTCCCCCTTTTAACAGAGCGCTCTGAGTTTCTGGAACGGGCCCGATGCCAATGGCATTTACCTTTATTTAATCACTCCATAGACTCCTCTGTGAAAAGTGGGGTAATTAGGCCCCAAATATATCACCTAGAGACTCATTTTAACCACCCAAAATAAAATCTGGATCCCAATTTCAACAGAATTACCAGGTTGTTTTCCTTCCAAGAACTCCTGACCATGGTTAAGCTCCTGGTTGGTTCTCCCAGTGGATGGCTGTCCCCAACACAGGGAGGCAGGAAGCAAGGTTTTCTGGGGTCAGTGTGACAAGCCGGGGAACTTCCCCTCACATAGTCCTGAGACCCTGAAGACAGGACCAAGTCTCTCAACAGGAATCTCAGGGGGCTGGGCAGTTCCTTTCTCAGCAACCAGCTGCGAGACTGTAGACACAAGGCTTCATCTTCTGGCACCAGCCAGTCTATGTCCTAAAGGCAGGAAGACTGACAAACCCCTATGCATTAGGACTCAAGAGGATAGCCACACTCCTTGGGAAGGATTCTGCATCAAACTTTGTTTTTATATTTTAAGTTTCTCAAAACTTGCAATCTGTGTCCCAGTATGCTTGGTAGCATATTCTTCTCATCATGGATGCATAAAGCCCTGGTACGTCTCACATCTGGTAACCGCCAGCTTGCATCAGATAGAAACCTCCCCTAGCAAAATTTAAGCTCTCTGAAGTCATTTGCTAATTTTCATTTTTCTTCTGCTCTTAATTCCAACCGTCCTAAAGGAACCAAGACTCTGGAGAAGAGAATATTGATTATATGAGAGCTTTTGGACCTGGCCAGGAAAAAAAAAAAAGGAACATCTATGATTTCAGTCAATGCATAATATTTGAATGTGTTTTTCACATATCACTGTCTGCCCATTGCATACCCTGACAGACATCACTAATCAACTCAGAGCTTTTTCCCACTGAGGCCAGATGTAGCCTCTAAATCCTTCTCAACACAGTACTACAGGCAGCTGTTGCCAATCATCCAGGGTTGACACATGAGGCAAGATCTATGGTAGGTCCCTGACTTGGAAGTTTGGAAGAGTGGGAATAAGACCAAATCAGGAAACTTAGACATATGAAAAAGATCATAAAAATGTTGCAGTTCACGGCACTGAAGAAACCAAGGTCTAGAAGGTTAAAAGTGTAGAGAGACAGAGAGCCAATTCTCTGCAGTAAGCATGTGGAACTCTGCTCCTGTCCTTACTTATCCAAAATGCCCTGTCTATCAACCCAGCTGTCTTTCTCAGCATCAAAGTCAAGTTCTTGGTCACTTAGGTCAAATGACTCTGGCAAAGAGAGGGAGAGAGAGCGCCAGTCACGTAAGAGGGTTTTGCTTCTGGTTTTTGTACAATTTCCTTTAACTCATTGCCACTATCAGTGATTCATTGTTCAGGCAGGTGATCTACAGGACAATCAGGAGTGGTCATTACTAGCAAATGATAGCTACAAGCACAGAGCGCAAGAAGCCATCGGCCGGCCAGATGGCTCCTGTGGTTTTTAATAGCGAACACCTCTCATCACGATGTTCCTGCTCCTGCAGATAAGAAAGGGTCAGTATTCAATCCTACGTAACGACATAACAAGGAGAGTAGCAGCCTGCTGCCCTGCCCCCACTCGAGGCCTTGTTAGGATTTTGAAACTATTAGACACGTCTCGGGCGTTTGCCATAAATATTGATTGTTTAATATTCCAAGCAATGGAGACTAACCAATAAAAATCACATCTGGGAAAATTAAGAGTGGCGGGTGGAATGGGGACCTGCCCTTCCTGACAAATTTCAATTCGAAATTAAATTGGGGCCTTCAGCGCTAAGATAGGGACTCTTGACCCCTGAGTAATTACTTTCCAACATCATTTCTGTTAATTTGGAGGAGATATTTCTATTCCGGGAATCTCTGGAAAGGCCTATTTCGTGAAGATGAAGCAGTGTCTGAGAAACACCTGCTTGCAGTTCCCTTCGGTGACAGGCACAGTGCCGTCCTCGGTGGTGGGCTCACTCCAGGCTGCTCAAAGCCCCACTCGGCACTCTCTTCCTTACACCAGCAGACTCCAGAGTCATTGAGACAAACACCACAGCTTGCAACCTAGAAGCTCTGCAGGCTCCTGGTGGGCCCCAGGAACAGGGACATCTGCACAGGCAATTCCTTCCCTGATATTGGTCCTCGATACTAAGGGAACACGTATGGAATATGAAATATGGCAGCGTTTCCAGGGAACAGTGCACCCACTCATTCACTCACTAGTTCATTTGCTCAGTGAATATTTATGGAGGTTCCCCACTATGCCAGGCCCGCCTCGTACTTGGTGCAGAGGATACAAGAGAGGAAAACACGGCCCCTGCCCTCAGGGGGTCCCAAGAATGTAGCAGGAGAACAAAACCAGAAAATCATCCTACAGCATGCTCAGCACAAGGACCTGACCTTGCCCTTGGGCTCCAAGAGCCAACAGCAAGAGAGGGTGCTGGGGCTACCTCCGGCCCCCACTGGAGGGGTAAGAGCAGGGCACCAGACATGGAGGGACCTGGGAGTGACCACAGGGCCAGGCAGGTGAGTGGAGGGAGGGGTCAAGGTTGCTGTGGTTCTGGATCCTGGATTTAGAGGATGACATGTGGCACTTGCAGAGGCCTCAGGGGACTGGAGATGAGTCAGTATTAGGGACAGCAAATTTGAACACATCCCACCAGAGAAGGACTGGTTTCCTTGAGGGCCTAGCTTATTTATGAGTCTTTGTGCTGAGGATGTAAGGGGTTCTCATAAAATGCTGGATTCACAAATAAATGTGTGTATGTGCAAGGAACCCACGTGCAAATGCTTCTCCTGTGGGCTGCCACTCTGAGGAAGTCTAGTGTCAGCCCATTTCAGAGAGGAGCAAACCCTTCAAAAGGCTTGTGGGATAAGAGAGGAGCAAGGACAAGCTCAAAGATAAAAACAACTAAAAATATAACAGGCAGGTGACATGAAAGCACCATCGATCGTCGGAAAATGCAAAGTAAGCCCTAATGAGACACCATGCCAGAGTGGTCATGAATTCCCTAGGATTGTTGGAACCCAAAGAGACAGCAGCAATAAGTACTGGAGAGGACATGAGTGAAGCAATGACTCATGGGCTTCTGGTGGTGACAGTCTAGCGGCGCAGCCCCTGGGGAAAACAATTTGGCTGTTCCTTATAAACACACACTTCTGGTATGCCTCAGCAAGCCTCTCCTAGATTTCTACCCAACAGAAATGAAAATGTGTTCAATAAAAAAAAATCCATAAATGTTCACAATGGCATGGCCAAAGCGGAGGGCAGCCCAAAGGTCCATCCACGAGTGAATGGGTGAGCACGCTGTGGCCTCTCCATGACATGTGGCATCAATCAGCGACACAAAGGGAGACGTGTGATACCTCCTAAACCACGAGGAACCTCAAAGACACCGTGCAAAGGAAGTAAGCCAGACCCAGAAGACCTGACCCTGAAGGATCCTCTGATACGAACTTTCCTGAAAAGGTAGATGGTGAGCAGATGATGCCGATGGGCTCTAGGGGAAGCAGTGCCCAGGCTGCATGGCAGCAGGGGTCAGGGGCCGCACAGCCAGAAACATTTCCTAAAACTCATCAAAATGAATATGTTCCATGGTTAGATTCTAATATAAGTTTTTCCTCGATGAAACTGTTATTTAAAAACACAAAGGCAGAGAGAACAGTGAGGTTCGGACCAGCCTCCTAAGGGCTGGCCTCTGTACAGGACCCTGCAGACGAGGTGGGATGTCAGCAGGTTGAGAAGGCAGACAAGAGTTATGGGCAAGGAAGGAAACACGGGCTGCTCTTGGAAGTGAGAGGGTGCCAGGCACATAGGAGTGATGTCTAGGCCTCTTTTTGCTGGACATTTGAATGGAGAAAAGTAGAGAAAAGTTTAAAAAAATGGTTGTGGCTGGACCAGATTCCAGAAGCTGAGACTGGTCAAGCGGATGCATTTATGATGTCATCTGGCAGACAGTGGGGAGCCAGCAATCATTCCAGAGGAGGGGAAAGACAAATGGGACAGCAGCCAGGCTTGTGTGCTGCAAGGGCCAGTGGCCAGGGCAGAGCACTCGCTAAAAGGCTCGCAGACCTAGAGGTGGTGAGTATGGCCAAATGGGCATGGCTCACCTGTGTCCATGATGCAAAGGAACAGAGAGGCTCATTGTACCAGATGGAAAAGAAAATAGCAGGAGACATCACTTATTTAGTGATTTCTACAATCTGGGCCCTAGTTTAAAGAATTGCTGCTCTGGAGGGAAGAGCCTGCCATGTACAGAATGAGCCAAATGGATTGATGATCATCTTTAGGTTTGCTGCAAAGGAAAGGAATAGAGATTAGGGGAGTTACAAAATGCTGGTCTAAGGTGCCTTACGAGAAGCAAGGGCAGGGACACGTGTTTTAAATAAGAGACTTCCCGGGTGGAGGGACGATGAGTGAGACAAATGACAAAGACAAGCGTACAGGGCTTTCTGGCCCAGGAAGGCAGGAGGGCCTGGTGCGGCTGCTAGTCTAGGCGGAGGCCACCACTCCTTTCTTTGTTCTTTTTAGTAGTGCTGCAGATCAAGCCCAGGGCCCCACACACACCAGCATGTGCTCTACCACTGAGCTGCACCCCGCTGCTTCCATAAATGTCCCCAACACACACTGGGCACAAAGACAGGCCCAAAGAGGTAGAAGATCGTTGCACTGGGGCTGCTTCTTGGGATCAGTCCTCCCCTGGCTACAGTTAAAACAATATGCACAGCCTTCTGTTCTGGGTCCAGGAAAAAGGACTGTGGGGAATTGTCCTTCAATGTCCCCAAGGCTGGCTTACCCCAGGCCATTGAAAAGCAGAGAGCCATTCTGCTTCCTGAAAGCTGAATGCAGTTGTTTGGGGGAAACATATAGTTGTTTATCAACACTTTTAAAAATTAATAGCCAACACTGAAAGGCCAGGAAATTTCATATAAAGTGGGCAGGTTTTAGCTTCTCTTGAGCAATTGGGAATTCCATTCTTGCTGTGGCCCTACCCTGCATGGCACCAGTTGGTCAGAGCTGAAAGGCACTTGTCCTTGTTCAACATTAGTGGCCCTGGATTTGCTCTTCACTCATTCATTTGCTCCTTCATTCAATGAGTATTTATTGAGCACCTAGTAGGTGCCAGGTGCTGCTGTGGGATATGGAGACACAGCAAAGAGCAGCCTGGGCCTCATAGTCTCACAAGGAGAGCAAGACAATAAACAAAGTGGTCTGTAGTTCAAGGGACGTGCACAAAGAAAAATAAAGGAGATGGAAGAAGGTAGAGAAGTGTCCAGTATCCAGACAGATGATCAGGGCAGAGGAGCCTGTCTGGTCAGCTGACTCCTGAGCCAAACTTGATTAAAATGAGAGAACAAGCCCTCAGACAAGGGACAGCAAGTGAAATTGGGTCCCCCGTGAGGGAGGAACAGAGAGAGAAATGAGCACAGGGCAGAGGGTGTCCAGGCTCACGACAGTTGGAATTTTGTTCTGAGTGGGTTGAGGAGTGGTTGAGTGGGTTGGGGAGTGTGGTGGGCATACTCATTTGTGAGGTTGACTGGCCCCTACAAGCATCCAGATGTTTAAAGCAAGCCGGACAGAGGCTTACGGTTAAAGACAGGTTCTGTGTCTAGGGAGGGAACATAAACCAAACTCTGAGCAGGAATTTCCTGATCTGCAGAATATGATGTTTGTGCTAAAGAATGACCCCAAACTTAGCAGTGACCTTGAATTAACTGCTATCTATGGACAGTCCACACACAGGGAAGCCACTCAGAAAAGCAGAACCCTGGGCCTAGATTCCATCTTGCCAGGTGAGAAGGTTCCCAGTGGCCATGTATCTGGAAGCTTCCATCCGGTTCCCTTACAGAAACGTCCTCTCACCTCTTTCTTTACCAGTAATGTCACACTCCGCTGACATACACAACACCTTAGGCAAATCCTAGGATGACTTTATTTTGGCGACTTGAGTTAGTGCCCATAATCTCCCAACTCAGACAGGAAAAACCCAATCCTTCTCTCCAAAACAAAGCGACGAGCAGCCCTGATGTTTAACATGAACCCAATGCCCAGACGGCAAAGAGCGGGCGACATTGGATACGCGGAAAGCATCTACTCACAATCAGAACGTGATCCCGGCCCATGGTGATGACTGTCCGGTTCACCGTGCGAAGCAGCTGGACCATGATCTCTTGGATGTGGTGGTGGGTGAAGGCCTGCAACAGAGACATCTGTGTGACAACCAGGCATGGTGCCCGAGCAGCCCTTCAAAGACCCCGGCAAGGCTGGGTAGACCTGGTGATCACCACAGCACTGCCACTGCCAACACCAGCCTGTCCCCTCCTGATCACCATTTGTCATCGTCACATCTCTACCCCACTGACACGGGCATGGTGCCCCAGGAGCTTCAAGAGTCACCTTGAGTAGTTAGTGAAGGGGAGCTTACTTAGGCTTGAGAATCAGGACTTTGAAAGTACTAGTGGTGTGGCACTGGCTGGGTTAGTAACTTCTCTAAACCTTGGCTTGACCTAACCTGGAGTAAGGAGGGAATTCGGCCCAGAGAATTGGTTGCTCAGCACTGGAGAAGCTGAGGGACCAACAGAAGGAAGCCACTGCCACCCTAGGCTGCAGGGACTAACAGGAGGCAGTGTTCCTGGAGACCAGGGTGGGGTGGTGAGGTGGGCACTGGGACCACTGGGGGCACTCCTGCAGCTGAAGTCACACCACCCATGTTGGGGTGGAAATCTGTGGTGCAAGGGTGTAACATACACAGGGTTCCACCCACTTCAAGTGCAGGCCCCTGAGCTTTCTGTAGGACTTGCTGGCGCTGGAGCTTTTGCTGTGGTAAGCAAGGTTTGCATGCACATTCATCCACACCCTCAGACTGCGTCACCAGCACCACCCCTAGACAGCTTCACCCCTGCATTCCAGTGAGGGTGAACATGACCATGTGGGAAAGCCTGGAACTTTAGGTTCAGAAGCACCTGGTCTGACTTTCAACGCTGTGCAGCCTCACTTAGCATTTAACCCTCCTGAGCCTTGACTTCCTCATCAACAAAGCATGGAGCTTGTCCTGAGGCCCGTATGAACATAAAAGTGACATATGCAATTCTGAAAAGACACACGTGCCCAGTTCCCCTGAAGGAGATTCTATAGATCTAAAATAGAGATCAGGCATTAGCAATTTCTGAATTTTAGGGACTTCATTCTGATAGCTGAGCACCATGGGCACAGGCCCTGGGAAGCTCTGGAGATGGAGACTTGAGTTTGGGGAAGGCTCTGTCTCCAGGAACCAGCCAGAGCCTGACCTAAAGAAGGTGCTCAGTCAATGGTAGTGCCATGGCTCCTCAACGGGCAGCCTCTGCTGCATCCAACCCCAATGAACTTTTGTCTCTTCTGAACCAATGGAAGGAAACAGATTCACATTTGGAAGAGGATGAGAAGAAGAAAGATGGGCTAATTACTTAAAATGTCCTCACCTCCCAACATCTAGAGATGAATCACCTAAGCTTGCTTTCTCTTTCCGCATCAAATTCATTTCTCTGGCACTTTGGCGAATCCTCCATTTTCCAGCCCATGGATCCACCAGCAAAGCTCTGCCAATAGCTTCTGCCAGAGCACACACATATTTTACCGTAGGAGTTCTTGAGCTCCATCAGCCCAACAAGACCTCAGTCCTCCTCCTGCCTTGACCCCCACCACCCAGGTCTTTCCATTCCTGAGGCTCAGGGTGGGGAGGGATAGCATGTTTCTGCACTCCTTGGCTAAAGGCAAACCCCCCTCTAGACTTCCTTCTTTATTTGTTTAAGCCTTTCGATGAGTTATAATATTCTCTTTCTTGAATTATATAAATATGATGCTCATGGTTATAATAGCAAAAGGTGGCATTCATGAGTTCTTGCTGAATTCCTGGCACTCTGATAAGCACATTACCTGTTTTCACATCAAAATAAACAGTATTGTGATTTCTATTACTTAAATGAGGAAACAGAAGCCCAGAGGGGTTAAGTAACTTGCCCAAGGTCACCCAGAAAGGAAGTCCAGGAAGAAGGATTCAAATCCAGCAGTCTAGCTCCAGAGTCTGTTCCCTTCCCAAACTCACCCAGGCAGACTGGAACACGATCACACATCTCTGGTTGTTACTTTGGGGCTTCATTAGCCTCCTTCCATCTGTCAAGATGGATGGACTCTGTCTTCAACTGGGCCAGCTTCTAATTCCTTCAGTGACTTCTGATCTTTTCCCTCTTTTTCAGAAAGCCTTCAGTGCCATGTATTCATTACTCCTTTATCTTTCCTATTCTCCCTTTGCAATTTCATCAAATTTATATAATGGCTTCCATTTGATGCAATTTTTCCCCCCAGGATTACATCTCTTCCCTTACCAAAAGAGATATTAAAACCCCCCTTTTCCTCTTGAACTCCTGCTCCTTGCTACTTTTAAATCGCCACTTCTTCTTAGTCCAAAGAGGAGCAATTAAACTGGCTCAGGAAATTTGGTACTTAAAAGTGGGAAAGCATCCATTTCAATTCATCTCACTCTGAAAGCTCCCAATATAGGAGGAGCGTTAGCTACGTGTTCTGAGATCAGACAGATGTGAATTCGAATCCCAACTCTTCTCATTTGAGCTGGGTGACCTTGGGCAAATTGCTTTTCTTCTCTGAGTTTCATTTTCTGCGTTTATAAAACATGGGCAACACTAGAAACCTCAAAGGTTATTGGTTTACAGAATAGAAGATGATGCAGAGAAAGTCCCCAAGACCAAGAGCCAGGGCACAGTGAGCCTCAGGAAGGACCGTCACTCCTTTGGTTGGCATCAGCATCCTGGCTGGGCCTGCAGATCCCCAACATGTAGCAGAAAGTGCAGCACAAGGCGAGGCGTTCAATAAACTGTGGGTGATATGAAGATGTCGCCCAAAGAATGTATAGCATATATGCAAATGGAAAACTTTCAAGATGATAAACCTGCGCCCAGCAGGAAAAGTGCAGTCACAAATCACCCACTGTTAATTGCACCAGTGAGAGGCAAGTGGAGGAAACTCCCGGGAAGTGTCCTCAGGGCCCCAACTAAACAGTGGCTTGTAATTGAAATGACAAAATCAGTCTTTGCGTTATGGCCGCAGCAAAGGAATTAATCCACCCAACCTAAACAGGCTGCAAATTGCAGCAATTTTTTTCTTTTAATGATTGTAGGCTATGGTCTTTGGAAGGGGATCTCAGGCTCATGCCTGAGCCCCGTCCACAGGTACCACAGCAGGAGAGCTGGCTGTGGGCGGGTGGGGAGCTGGGATGGGGGGGGGAGCCAGCCCCAGTGTCTTCTTGGCACCCTAAGCCATGGAATTTTCTAGAATAAAATTCAAAACTCCTGATTATTTATATTTTCAGAATAACAATCGACAATGCCAGGGATGGGATGATTTTAAGTACAATACAGGATTTCAAAACACTGAATCAAATTATATGAAAGGCATGTCCTTTGCTCTTATTTTTTTGCCATCCTTCTGATGACATGGGTAGAAAAATCTCCATTTGGTGTGGACATGTCTCTAAGGTCTCTTTAGTTCAGGCAAAATCCCCTTTGGGGAGATGAGGTGCTGGGGTTGGAACCCAGGACCTCACACAACAAACCTCCTCCCCCCCCCCTTTTTTTTTAACAGAGAGGGAGGCCCTCATATGGGAGCAGACAATGGGCAAACCACATTTAGTTAGAGCCTACTAACAATGATTTCTTTTCACTGTGTTCATTTTTTTAAGTTATTTATGCTTTTGACAAGTATGCAGTAAAAAGATCCAAAACTTGGAAATAAAGCAAAATGAGGACTTCATGACATTTTAATGGAATGTTTCTGATAGACCCTACGGAGGAACCTCTTGCTAACCATCCACAACTGGTTAGAAACCAGAAATTTTATAAACGGTTAGCTTATAGAAAAATAACAAAGTTTTATGTTTGCTTGCTGGCTTGCCAAAGGCTGTCATATTATTGCTCAGTATCCACTTTATCTTGGACCTAATGACAATTATGCACAAGTATCTTCACTCCCACGAAAAATGAAGGCACTCAAACACTTTTAACCAGCTCATTTGCTGTCCCGATGGTTCCCGAGCTTGTTAAATTAAACTTGGACGTGGGTCAGTATCCAATTGTGTGAGATGGTATTTTTAACAATTTAGGGAGTCAATTTTTGTACGAGTAATGCTGACTATATACAAGCAATGATATAAAATTTTGTTTAACTTTATGAAAGTGGTAATATATATACAGTTTTTAAAATGTATTCTCTGAGGTTCATTTAAAACAAACAAACAACAACAAATAAAACCCAGCAGTCTCAGATGCCCTCCTCCCCAGAGGAACTTCTTTGCGTATTTCATAGTCATGGCAGGTATATCTTGATTTTAGGAACATGTCACCAATGCTTGTACTACTCCACTTCAAAACTTTTGTTTGATTTAGTGCTGTTATCTATCAACTGATTTAGTGCTGTTATCTATCAACCATAAAAGACAAGCAGTTCAGCTGGGAGCAATGGCACACACCTGCAATCTCAACAGTCAGGAGGATGGGGCAGAAGGATCACAAGTTCAAAACCAGCCTCAGCAACTTAACAAGGTCCTAAGCAACTCAGTGAGACCCTGTCTCTAAATTAAATACAAAATTAGGGCTGGGGATGTGGCTCAGTGGTTGAGTGCCCTTGGGTTTAATCCCTGGTAGTGAAAAAAAAAAAGAAGCATTTTGCTTCTCCTGACCCTCATCAGGCATACCCACCCATCCCATAGAGTTATAGTATAATCTTGGTTTGATTGACACTTGAGTATTTATAGGAGTTTGATTATGTAGATGCTATTCTCATGCAATGGTAAAGTACGAGGAATCCCCACCTCCTAAACAACTTTACTCTCACCCACAAAAAAAAAAGGAATTGAAAAAACTCTGAAACCCTTTTAGTTCTCCTGTGCTCTTTTGCATGATTCCCCATTGCCTCTTCTCCTAATTTTCAAAGTTCCTTCTGCCTATTTTTAAGTCTTCTTCCTCCAAGAACCTGGTTCCTCCTGGTGGCTCTTCTCTTGTTTGCTCTGAGCTCCCTCTGCCTCCTGTGAGTGCTGCCCCGGCCCTTCCTCCGTGAGGCTGTGTTCTCTCTGTACCCACCCTGCAGTGTGGGTGACGTGACAGCTGACTGCCCACTCAGCCTGGTTGTCTGTGACCTTCCTTGCAGGGTGATCTGGCTGGGACAGTTAGCTAGAGAGACTCAAATACCAATATATGGCAAGTCTTTCTTCTTGAGCTGGTTGGATTCCACAGACAAGAATTCTCCTATTCCCTGCCCAGAGGCCAAGTCCTGGCTGCCAGCATGCGGAGGTGGAGTGGAAGGACTGGGTTGGAGGTTTAGACTCCAGAATCATCCTAGGAATGGAACCTGGCTCTGAGTTATGGAATCCCTGCTCTTGGTGGTGTCCGGTGTCTCCAAGTCCAGACTCCCTCTTTTTATCTGTTACATAGAATAAACCTCCCAAACTCAGCTGCAGGCACTTAGACTGCTTCTAAGTCCCAAGTTTTTAATTCTGCAAACATAGTAATTGTTTCAGTTATCATTAACCGGGGTGGGGTTCCATATCGGGACAATGGGACCAAACTGGTTGGCTGACTGACTTCGAGTTCTCTTCTGTATTGATCTCCCCTTCTTCACCTTCACCTGCACGGGAACTGGATCCTACTCCTTCTGGAATTTTCTGGGGACTCTGCTTTAGATTGAATGGGTTCTCAGCAATTTCCAATGCTGGATCACAAATCGCTTTTCTTAGATCTACTAAGTAATTTAGTAATTTTCACACGATTTTTAAATGTCTTTTAAAAACTAACCCTTTACTTCTTTTTTTCCAGTAGGTTTTCAAGAAGGAGCAAAACATGTGCCTATACATACCATCTTTATGGGAAATTCTACCTCAAGTTTTTGTGTTTAAATATCTATAAGTTTATTTGATTTAAAGTATCAAAATCATATGACAATGACAAATAATATAAAAAGTGATTGCGTTATACAAACGCCTATGGTTTTGAAAAGAGTATTTGTGCAACTCCTACTTTATGGAAAGAAAAACTAGTTTGGGGAAAGGGTTTACACAAGGTCAGGTGACCAGTGACATGTGACAGGTAATGTCATCAGAGCTAGAATAAAAACCCAGTTCTGCTGAGTGGGCTGGGGTTGGCTCTGCCCTCACTCCAGCATGCAGGCCACCAAGGCCCTGGGCTCATGCCCAGGAGAAGCCACCTCCTCCACCTACTTTTTCACTGGGCCTTTTCCACCCTAAGATGAAGGGCATAAGGTCACATCTACAGCACTATACCCAAAGGCCTATTTTATTTAACGAAAAGAGAAATCATGCATATTCTGACCATGAACATGACTGTAATCCAGTCACTGCTGTTTGTGTTCCACACAAGAGGTGTTTTCAATTTCTTTCTTATCTTGAAGGCACTGCAAACACTTACCTAGAAAGAAAATATGTAACTGCGAAAAGATAGCAGTACTATCATCTAAAGCAGTTGTGCTCTCTTCCTTTGGCCCCTAGAGATAATGTGATTTTTCATGAGTTCTGAGTTTAGCGTCTGGCTCCTTCCTTCCTGTTTGAACTAGTTTCTGTCCTGAAAGACCTCACTGGACCAGCTGTGATCCTCTGCAAGTTGCAGAGTTGGCCAAGGTCACTCAGTGCAGTAGGAATCAGGGATCGAAGAGGTCAGGCAGGGGAGTACCACACCCCACCTTTCTGGCTCTCCTCCTCACCATTCCCCAGGCAGGACGCAGGCTGTGCCTGAACTTGACCAGCCTAGCTTCACACCAGCCGTCCATAGGAGAAGAGAGCTGGAGCAGTTGGCAAAAGACCAGGATAAAAGGAAAAGAAGACATGAGTTCTGATTCTGCCCCTGCTGCACCTGACAAAGTTAGAGGTCTTACTGTGTGCTGAACACTGGTATCTTGTGATCCCATTTAACTTTTGATAAAACCCTGGGTATGGAACAGGAAAACTGGAGCGGTTTAGGGTAATAACTTGCCCAGGAATGATCCACTCACAGGAGGCCAAGCTGGAACCCAAGTTGAGAGCTGCCTAATTCTGAGCTCTTTGCTCATGGGAAGGGTGGTGCTGCTGGTGGATGGGTGCCTTGGGCCCTCAGCATTCCCTCTAAGAACCATTTTCAGGGCTATGAAAAGTGAAAAGAAAAAAGAGAGGAAGAAGAAGAAGAGGGGAGTAGGAAGAGGAGAGGAGGAAGAGGAGGGAGGAGAAAAGGAGGAGGGGAGGAGGAGGAAGAGAAGGAAGAGAAGGAGGAGGAGGAAGAGGAGGAAAGGGAGGAAGAGGAGGAGGAGGGTGGGGAGGAGGAAAGGGAGGAGGGGGAGGAGGAGCTAAAGGACAGAAAGAAAGAAAAAGCCTCTCCTTGCACAGAGACTATGCAGTTGCCATTCACTATATTCTCCTTGTCTGCCGTTGACCTAGATCAATCTTAGCTGTCTGAGCCTCAGTTTCTCCAGCTTTACATTGGACATAACACTGCCCATAATATGAAAACTGTTTTTGAGAAACTGTGGTAATTCCCACACTGATGGCTAAATTTTTTTTGTGAGCTTTTACTCTGCCATGTCCTCTTCTAAGTACTTCACATACCTTAATGAGCAACCCACCATGCTCCACGCAGGGCTGCCCATGGTACACACAGTCCTGGGGGTTATGCAAGCCCCTGCTGAAAGTAGGGAAATATGTCCATTATTACAAATTATGGATGAGAAACCTGGCTCTGGCTCTGGTCATACATCATATAAGTGCCAATGCAAGTCCCAGTCCAGGCTTCCTGGCTACAGCCCAGGCTTGCCATGGCCAGGACTTCCAGGTCTAGGGTCACAGACGACCTCCAGGTCTAGAATGGGGCCATACTTTACAAATAGCAGATCATTCTGAAAATCTTCCCAAAGAACATCATAAGACACACATTTCTGTTCTGAGCTGTTTATAGCAGTATTGTACTATTTATAATGTCTATATGTAGCAAGCAAGATAAATGTCCTCAAATCAGGAATCCCATCATACACCTGATGGTTGATCCACAAAATGGAGTAGAGGAAAGGGAGACAGAGCTTGACTTGGAAAGGGATCCTTAATGTAATCAGTAAGAGACCTCAGTGCACTGTTTATAATATAATCCCATTTATTTTGGTAGATATTTTTCTCTATACAAAAAGTCTGAGGAAATGATATCACTGAGCCCAGGGGGTGGGAAAGGAGAGGGAGAGATTGGTGTTAGAGCAATAATTTTACTTTCTATGGTTTGTTGGGAATTTTCACAATTATTGTGCATGATAAAAGCAATAGAACTATTCTCTGATTAGAAAGTAATGAAAGTCTGTCTGCAACAAGAAGGAACCTTGTTCACCAGAGACTTTATGGCTATGTCCCAGGGCCTATAGCCATATGCCTGGGAGGGGGGTTGAATTCTGGGGATGTGGCTGTCCACTCACTCACTGTCCTGAAGCCCCGCCCCCATGCTGGGGCTATAGACATAACCTGGTGCTCACAAGCTGGGTGGCTGTTGTCAGTGTTATTAAACTGACAGAAGAGAACTACAAAGTAAATGAGTTAACATTTTTTAAAAGGCACAACTATGTAATTTTTATTCCATTTACCAAATACTTTTAACTTCCATTTCCTGGCAGATGAAAAAAAAATGTTCTTAAATCAACCATAAAAAAAAAAGAAACATAACAAAACCTCTCACGTTCAACAATAACACAAATCTCATATGCTTAGAGCAAAACATTGTTTTTATTCAGATCTGTATGTTGCTTTGTGAGGACTTTCATTAAAATACACTGGGAACTCCAACCTGCAGCCTAAAGTAAAAAGAATTACAGCTCCCAAAGTCTGTAAGCCCAACATCTTAATGCTGAAAGATGAAGAGTGGTGGGGGCTACTCAGGAAGGTGTACCTGGGAGATGCTTCACTTGGGGTTTTTTCCTTTGAAACAAATCATTTATGGGAATTGCATAACAAGACACAGATAAAGAACACAACCAACATTTGCTAAATTAAGCAAATTTGCTTACCATGTGCGAGGCAACATGTCATGAATTTAATATTTTTTATCACAATGTATCTGATGAAAACCCTGGGGATAAGCATGACCCTATTGTAAGGCCCTCTGGACCCTGATTTCCTTCTGAGCTCCCTTCTCCATCTCTCTCTCTCCTGCCACTGACAACCCAGGGTTTCTTCTTCCTGTATTTCCTTTTGCTTTGCGTCTGTTTTGTCATCTTATGTGCAATAAGATCCATCCTAATGATTGTCATCCTTGGATATTTACTGAGCACATTATACATTCCAGGTGCTCTGAGTGCATGAACCATCTCATTGAATTCTTCAGTTTTGCAGATGTGAAGCACTGGGGCTTCCCACATTGCAAATGAGGGAATTCAGAGATGACATGGCTTGTCCAGAGTCATAGATAGCACTGTAGGTGACAGAGCTGGATGGGAATCCACATCATCTTGGTGGTAAGGTTCTTGCATTGGGTACTAACTTTTTATAGCAATAATTTATTACTGCTAGATATTATACAGGATAAAGGCAATAGAACTATTAAAATATTAAAATATAAGAAGGGAGGTAAGAGTCCATGAATCAGGAGTCCTATCATAAAATGATGGTTTAGTCACACCCTGGAATAGAAGGTGCTGGGTATGTTTGCCCAGGGCCCTGCAACTCCAGGCTCCTTCTCAGGAAAAATGGGTTCATCCACTTTAGAATCTTAAACTGTTCCGCTCACCCCTGTTTCTTAGAGCTCATTGGACAAAGAGGCAGGCTCTAGACAGTCCTGCTTTTGAAGGCCCATCTCACATCATATGTCAATGATGTGGAAAAGAAAAGTTCCTCACCAATAAATGTAATCCAGTTGCCTAGGAGGTGGCTGTAGCTGACTAGCTGATACACTGTTCATTTTGCAAATACTTAAGCAGCTGTTAATTTCAGTTCTGCATTTTTTCCTATTTTGGCATCAGCTAATCATACGAAGCTAAAATACCCGTAGGCTGTCTTGGTTCTGTATCTAAACTGTACTAAAATGTACCTGTCAAACCATCTGGTGCAAAGGGCACCAAATGAGCAAGTGGCCCTGCAGCACCAGACTCCTTGAGGCTTTTACTGCAGAAATGGGAGTCTGTGAGCTATTTGTAGCATTTGAAAAAAAAAAAA